CTCTCCCCCTATTGTCCTGTTTATGTAGCACTTCACTACTTTGCTGTGCCTTTGCCTTGGAAGTCATTGCCTTACTACTATTCTAAGATGTTTTACAAACTTAAATTCTCCGTACAATTTCTTGTATTTATTGTTGGTTTTTCTCTCTGTGCCGCTGTACACATTGATATTGTTTTTATTGTTTGCAAAGCTTTATATGTCCTTGGAATGTACTATTTTTTCGGAGGGGCGAATAATTGTATGTTTGTAACTTATGTTATTACTCTAACCGTACAAATCTTAAGCCTAAGTGTAGGCTAATAACATAAAATCGTAAAAAAACCTCTTATGCTCTTATGCCTGTAAGTGACATGTGGAGGTAGTTTAATTTCGTTAATAAATGTAAATGACAAGCATAAAAAAGTAGCAACAAACAGCTGTTCTAATTTTGGAAAATTTTCCCTTAATTTACCTTGCATTTGTGACCTCGAAAATGATATAAAATTTTTGAATAGCAGACGATATACGGCTGCTGGCCTTGATATTTATATCAGATTTTCCACAATTAATGTGGTTGATTTGTTGTTTTCGTTAAACCTTTTTAATTGGCTAATTAATTGTTGGGTATTTCTGACATTTTCCCTGAAATATATGCATGTGTATATGTATACGTCAAAGTATCACATTTTGTAATGCCATATTTATGAAGGTAAAACGATGTCATGTTACATTTTTTTCTTTTAATATTGAAAGGGGTTACATCGAAAACAAATTATTGTCAATATTTCCTGGAGGCTGAGGGTATTCTCTAGAAATTTTAACTTAGTACTAAATGCATATTAAATGTAATAATTAGTAAAAAAATATCAAAACGAAAGAGAACAAAAAAAAAGTTCTGATTTATTTGGAAAAGTTGTGATATAGATTGCAATATACAACAAAAAAAAATTGGGTTTAAATCTAACAAAAATAGATTCTTGTTAGAAAAAAATAATAAAATTTGAAGAACCTAATTCTGAGAAAATAGTGAATATATATAGTGATTTACCGCTATTTAGATGTGCATACGAAGGCGTGGACCTGCATACGCAAATTTCTGTCACAGCCTGTAGTACTCATTACGAAGGCCAAATATGAACTTTGGGACTATTTAAGAGAATAATGTTGCTAAAACCATCAAAGTACCGAATATAGGGATGTACCGTTATATGAGGACGATGACTTGGACTTGCATAAACAATTTCCTGTCATAGATTGCACTTAGGAACTTCAATACAAAATTTGAAACAATTCCAGTGAATAATGTCACGAAAATCATCAACATAACGAATATATAGACGTACAACTGTATATATGGGGGCTATAAAATTACGTGGACCTATATAGCCCATTTTTAATATCAAAAGTACTGCAGACGAAACTCACATTTGAGTAAAATTTTATCAACCTACTTAAATTTGTTCGGAATCTAGAGTGATTTCCACAGGTAGACTGCGTTAAATCGACATAGAATTTTTTTTCTGATCAAGAATATAACTAATTTGTGGGGTCTAAAATTTATATTTCGGAATGACAAACTTAATAAACTCTCCATACTATGGTAGAAGGTATAAAAATCATGAATAGAAGAAAATAATACTAATTGTAAATGAAAATTTCGAAAAATAATTGAAATATTTCAATCAATAATTAATTCAGAGGAAAGAAGTTTGCTCGATTGAGTATTCAGCAATTTATTTTGCATAGGCAATTTGTGTAGTCTGATCTCTGAATCTTAGAAAAAAAAAAAAAATAAATAAAATAAAATAAAATAAAAAAATTAATAAATTAAAAATGAAATAAATAAATAATTTTCTTAGATTTTGAAATTTTTGACCATTTTAATTAAACAGTATATCGAATGTCCACCAACACTCATATTTGTTCTCTAGATACAAATTATCCCTTAAATAGAAGATCTAGTTTTGTTTTTTGTTTTACATATTAATAGTATAGTTCTTTTCCATATAATGTAGGATTTTTAGTGCTCTGTTCCAGAACCAGAAAAATCTACTAGTTTTGTATTTTTGTTGTTTTTGCCTCATGTATTTGAAAAGCCTTGCAAGTATTTTTCTTCAGGGACACACGTTATATTTTACTCGAATCTTTAGCACTATGACATTAGAATTTTACAACAATTAATACGATAAATTCTCTAATATGAAATTAACACTTAAATCGAAATTTACACTTAATTGGAGATTTATTATTATTTAATAATTTTTAGTTTTCCGTAAAAAAAAAACTTAGCTATTCCGAAAAAATGACTAAAATGTACTGTTTTAACAGTTTTTGTGATTTTATTTATTTTTTTTTTTTTCAATTCATATTGTATTATTATTTTGCATAGGAACACACGTTATATGTTACTTAAATTATTAGCTCATGGGAAATCTCTACACTATATAGCTTCAAGATTTATAGGCTGGATTTAGTTTTTAGATTTATTTTTAGTAGTTTAATTTACAAAAAATTGTTTACGTTCAAGTGTTCCAATTTTAAGGTAAAAATATAGGAATACTGATACATATTAACATTGCTATATTTTTACCTCAAATAAGGCTTTGCTTTACCTTCCGAGAAGCATAATCAACCTGGACTTTTGAGTCTTTCAAAAATTCGGAATTCCAATCACGATAAAACATTTTTTTACAGATATCGATACGAAAACTTATTATGGAGATAAAATAAAAATCATAGAAATGGGAAACTGCAAGAAATATTTTTGACTAATGCCACTCTTTGAATAAAATACGCAACATGCGTATGCTTAGATGCAATTATAAATACCTAATCTTGGATATTCATCCTGAAAAGATATTTTATACCTCTTTTTGTGCGCAATCAGTAACTATTTTTCTTGATGCCTAAAAAGCTGAATTTCTTTCCAAAATTATCAGATTTACTTAACATAGAAGATTTGAAAAAGTTGTGAATATAGTAAAAATTTGAATTTTATAGACGAGGTCGTACTTTTCCAAAAAACATTGCTGCAAGGCTTTATTTGGGAGTATTCATGAAAAATCAAATACATTCCTCAATCAATGGCTTTTGGGTCTTGGGTTTTCTATCGGCATATTTTTGGAACATTTTGTATCTGGCGTTATTATTTTTTCCCTTATTCAAAGTGTTGTTATAGGTGGAGGATTTTCCAGGCTCGCCGTGATATGCCAGTATAGGTTTCGGAAATGCGGTGACTCGAAACCCAACTCAACTGTCATTTAGACTGAATGGGCCAACAATTGTAAATCAAATATTATTTTATAGGATTTTTTTCTAATACAAAAACATTCCCCTTCATATTTAACCGTGTGTCACAATATTAAGACTAATGTTTTCAAAACTTCATAACAAATTTCACTGCAATAAAAATATGTTCCTCTATTCCGAGCTTCATTCTAAGAGTTTAAAATTGATTTGAAGCCAAATGTGTTAAAAAAATATTTTTGTGTAAAATTTCAATTTTGTATACGATACGTAAATTTGCTATAATTGAATTATACCAACAGTAAATATTTGCAGATTTAAGTCGTTTTTTTTTTTCAATGTGAGAAAAAAATATTACAAAAGATTTTGGCTACATTTTCAGGTTTCGATCGAAAATATTCAAAATACAAAATTTCCGACAATTGAAAAAAGCCATCCGGAAGAGTGAATCCGTTATACGGAAGATATTTATGACTGTTTTTTGAAAGGTGGTTGGAAAGGAAACCGTATCAACCCTCAAATACAAAATTCCAGCAATTCCGTTAAAAAAAAAAAACTTCCGAATGTCTTCGAAATGCTTAAAATGAGGGAGTACCGTTACATGGAAATTATACGAAAAATTTGACCTACGTACCAAATGTCAGCACTCAGATCCGTAGGAAGACGTGACGGACGGACATGGCTAAATCGAATTTTAATTTCACGCTGATCATGAAAATTAAATTAATTATTTTAAACTACCCATAGAAATTATATTTTACTTTCGCATTCATTCAGACATTTTTGACACAACAAAACAGGGCGTACATCGAACGTTTTGATAAATCAGATTCAATATTTTCTTGAAATTTTAAACGTTGAAAATTTCTCAAGAGTTTTCAATGTATTCCAGAAAAGTCAGAAAATTAAACAGTGGTAAATTACAGTAAAACAATTGATTGCACTCAATTACTATTACCAAACAGTTCCTTCAATTACAAATGTAGTTCCACAAAAACAATTACTTCCAAGCTATTCTTTGTAAATTTATATCTGCAAAAAATAGCTATTAACTAAACCCATGATTTTTCCATGTAATTCCTTGCAATCCTTTTGGCAAACTTTGGTATTTTTTTGGTTTCACAAAATAAAAGCATACACAGAGAAAACATAAACAATCTTCCACTAAATTCCCAGAATTTTCTAAGGAAGGCTATTCCATAGCATAAACAACACACATACACGCATATGGTATGTTACAAACTGAAAGCTTTTTAAATAGCTGTCAAATCAACAAGCATAAAATACATGTCTTCCAAATATCCTAACTCACATAAAAACAAAAAAAAAGCAAATAAGAACTGCTATTTATTCCCTAGACAGGCTAACAGAAAAAAAAAACAAACGAACAAACAAACATCGCGTCATACAGGCTATTAAAAGTTTGACGTTTGAGTCGATGTTAAAGAAGACTAAGAAAATCAAATAAAATTAAAGGGAAAAACAAACTTTAAAGATTTTTATCAAACTAAGGGTAGGACTTAATCAGGCAAAGGGAAAAAGCAAAACAAAACTTTGGTCTAGACCAAAAAGGATATCAACAAAAATTCGTTTTTTGGAAGAGGAAAAAACTTTGTTTTTACTAAATAAATAACAAAGTTACCTAAGAAACAACAATGCCAGGCAGGCTGGAAAGCGGTGGTTGTGGTGTTGTTGTGGTATTTTAATGACTAACTTGAAGTTCGAAATATTTTTAATAACCCCCCAGAAAAAACTCAAAATTTGGGTTTCCCTACCTTTGTGATGTTTCAAATGATGTCCGCTACTATGCTGGGAACCCATACAACAGGGCTGTTCATAATACAAATTCCAGGTATTTTCATAATCAGCATGGCCATAATCCACAAAATGTAAGAGCAGCACTAGGATATGTGTTAACAACAACATCGATAGGTTAAGCCCCGAAGGCGGTGATTTATTGAGATATTTTGTTATTGAGCACATTTTTGTAACACTTTTTTTGCTTGCAGATTTTTATCTTTTAAGGGGAGATTTTTTTGTTATTATATTTATTTATTAATGTTGATAATTGCTTCCTCAGGCCTCAACATAGATTTATGTGAGATTTTAATACAAATTGAGCAAAAGGATTATATATTTTTTATTGGAATTTTGCACTTAATTTTTTATTTTTATTATAGCATTTTTCTTCCACTTGAGTTATTTGAGCTTTATGTCATGGTTGCTGAGAATTTTGTTTTTTTTTATTTTATTTTCAATTTCCTTTTTGTCAACACTTTTTCATTGAAATTCCAAATTAAATTTTATTTTGAATATTTTCTTATTTTTTCGTTTCTATTTTGCTTGCATTAAAGCTGTATTCCCGTAATTTCTGTTTCTTGTTTAAGAATTTTGTTTTCTCTTATTAGAATTTTTCTCACTCGTCGTCAAACAAAAGAACGTTAAGCATCTGTGGTGCGTTCTCTATCACTAACCGCTACGAACTGACTACCGTTATTGCCGAAGTTAACCGTTAAATAAACTTTGTCAAAACATTCGAATTCATGTGCTCGCGAGCACGACCACCACACACAATCGTTGGCTAAAGTCGTTTTCCTTGGTCCTCAAACGTTATTTCTCCACAATTTACTCGGCAAGAGAGCGATGTGGAAAGAGAGTAAATGACAATTGTGAGAGCACATTCCATTAATTCATATCCTTGTTACAGGTGTATTGCAGGCCTTATTGTTTGCCTGTGTGCTCAACCCCAATATACGAAAAATCCTGAAAAGAGAGCAAGAGCGAAAAAACACGGGGTGAGTAAACATAACACAAATTTAAAGAAGAGGGAGAGGAAATATTTTATATTAGGCGCATGCATGTAAAAAAATGATTACCACAAAATTCTCTTGTTTTGAAATTTCCCAGTAATAACCTTGAGTTAGAAATATCCTTTAATGAGAGCAAAACACAACATGCAGAGAGAGGGAGCGAGAAAATATCCTTTTTTAAAAGGAACAGGAAATTCCTCATGTTCCATTTGTTTTGTTTAGTCCAGAGTTCTAATTGAAATGAGATGTACAATTAAAAAGAATTTTTCACTAATCCCCTTATTTTTCTCTCTCTCTCTCCCTCTCTCACCATTTCATTTTTCTCTTTTTTTATTGCAATATTTTAATTTCCTTTTAATGGTTGTTATGAACTTGTGCAATATTTTGTATTTTGATGTTTTTGTTGCGATTAGTTTTTGCTACAAGAATAACAACAACAACAACGTCATCAGATATCCGAACAAACAAACAAGCGCACACACACATACACTCAAATGAATACAGTCGTAACAAAAACACCAACAACAACTGTAATACATTGTAGCTTCAACTATTAGCACCACTACAACTACATAAATATAATAGACTACAAAAATTCGCATGGACAGCGGCAAGAACTATTGGCAACAACAACGAGAACCAACCAACAACTTCACAACAATACCCGACTGCCAGCATCCCATCAACAAGGATATTCAACACAAACACAAGGCTTTTCGGCGTGTGTCTGTGTGTTTGTGACTGTCTGTTTGAGTTTGTGTGAAAATATTTCAAGGGTAATGTTGGCGGTGTGCTGATGCAGCACTTTTATGCAACAACTATGGCAACAATAGCAACAACAGCAGCACCAGCATTTTCCAAACATAACTGAGACAAGTTATTTGATTGCACAGTCTGATGTTGAATTGTGTCGTAAGTCTGTGTGAGGGCTGTGTCAGTGTGTTTGTTTGATTATCTGTCTACGCGTTTGTCTCTGTAACTCTTTGCTATTCTTTTATGATTTGACTATGCAAATGTACGAAATATTGTTGAAAGAAATAACACAAACTTGAATATTGTCTGTGTTTTTGAAACAGCGTCAAGTCTTTTTAAATGGTGTAAAGTTAGGCGAAGAAAAATACACCGATTTAAAGAAAGTATTTTGCTTTTAAAACAACATGTAAAACATGAGTATATTTTGCTGACAGTTAACATAGAATCGGGAGGATAATATTTAGCACTTTTAATTTATGATATCAAAAAAAAAAAAAAAAACTTTTTTCTTAAAATATTGAAAAAAGATTTTGACTTTAAAATACCGGGATCCTCTTTTTAGGAAAATTGAGAAATATTTGCTCTCAACATGATTTTCCTAAAATGTGTCAAATTAACGGAAACGGAAGTAATCACGATAATCTGTAGGAGAACAGGTTCATAATATATGGAGTCAATTGGCAATCAAGGAGTAATGATCATAGATATATTTAAGGATGATATCCTCCTAGAAATAAAGTTATTCGTGATGGAATTCAAGCGTGAAAGTGGGATTTCTATATATTTGGCTGGAAAACCACAAGACGTCAAGGAAGAGAGAGAAGAAAACAGCAACATCAGCAGAAATGGTTCGAAAAGTATAAAATCGACTTGATCGAAACCCGCGTCTCAGTGGCTGAAATATGCCTCTTGAGCTAAACATATCGCAATATTGCATTCGGCAAATATAGAAAAACTAGCTCGAGATAAAGTCATTGAAATTGCAAAAAATGTAAGAATTTACACCGCAAAAGAAATAAAATAGACTCAAAAAAGCTAAGAATTCGCTTCGCTTGGCCGAAAGTGGTGAACTACCGATTTTTTTTCCGATGAGAAAACATTCGTTGTGCAGCAGTTTTTAAACAAACAAAATGATAGTGTTTACTTGCCAAAGAGGTCAGCTGAAATTGTGCACCTTCAGTTGGCCACCAGAACTCAAGCGCCGGCCATGGTGATGGTGTGGGCCGACAAAACAGCCAATGGTCGCTCTCCGCTCATATTAATCGATCGTCGCAACAGAATAAATGCCGAATATTATCGCGAAAATATTCTGGAGGGTGTATTAAAGTCTTGGACATTCCAACAGGACTCAGCACCATCGCACTCAGCACGCGCCACCCAAGAATGGTTAAAAAATGAGGTTCCTCGCTTCATTTCCAGCGCACAATGGCCACCAAAATCTCCGGATACCAATCCGTTGGACTATTGTGTATGGAGGTTGGCACTAAAACATATCAAAATGTCGACCATCTCAGACAAGTGTTTCGCAGGGAATGGGCCAAAATACCGTAAAGCAGCATTCGGCAGCGTATGACGGTCTCATTGGCCGTTTGAAGGCCATAATTCGTGCCAAAGGTGACCAATTCGAACGAATCTAGACTTATTTTCAAATTTGATGCTGTTTCCGACATTATTTGCTTTCATACAATAAAATTTAAATAAAAAAAGTTAAAAGTATGGCTTTTGACTTTGTTACAGTTTTTTTTTTCTCACCCTGTATACATTCGCCTTTCTTTACTGTTTTTTTTTATACCCTCCACCATAATATGGAGGGTATATTAAGTTTGTCATTCCGTTTGCAACACCTCGAAATATAAATTTTAGACCCCACAAAGTGTTTATATTCTTGATCAGCATAAAATTCTATGTCGATTTATCAATGTCCGTCCGTCTGTGGAAATCACTCTAGCTTCCGAACGAAATGAATTTATTTTAGACATTATTTACCGAAATTTTTTTCAAAATTGGTAATTAAAGTTCGTAACAGAAAATGGGCCATGTTGGTCTGCGTATTCGTATAGCCCTCATAAAACGGTACCTCCCGATATGCGGTATTTTAATGATTTTAGCGACATTATTTGCCCGAATTATTTCAAATTTCGTATTTGAAGTTCGTAATGGATTCTATATTCGGTATTTTACATTATAAACAGGTTTTTTTCAACTTTCGCATTTGAATATTTAATAGCCTGTGACAAAAGTTACTTATGCAGGTCCACGTCGTATGGACCCTAATATACGGCTACATTCGGTATTTTTAAGATTTTTACAGAATTGTTAACGGATTTTGTTTTTTTGAAAATTGTTAAATTTGTACCAAATAGTGGAGGGTATTCGAAGTTCGGCCCGGCCGAACTTAAAGCTTTTTTGTTTTTGACCACATTCTTATATAATACTTTAAATTAAAAAAGTTTCAGCCTCGTCAGTTTTCCTCCATTTCATATTTTTGTACCCTCCACCATACTATGGAAGGTATATTAATTTTGTCATTCCGTTTGTAACTCCTCGAAATACTCATATCAGACCCATCAAAGTATATATATTCTTGATCAGCGTAAAATTCTAAGTCGATTTAGCGATGTCCGTCTGTCTGTCTGTCTGTCTGTCCGTCTGCCTGTCTGTCCGTCTGTCTGTCTGTTGTAATCACGCTATCTTTCGAATGAATTGAGATAGGTGGCTAAAATTTTGCACACATGTTTATTTTTCCAGTAGGCAGGTTAAGTTCGTAAATGGGCCATGTAGGTCCACGTTTTCAATTAGCCACCATATAACGGTACCTCCCTATATTCGGTATTTTGAAGATTTTAGCGACATTATTCACGGGAATTGTTTCAAATTTGGCATTTGAAGTTCAAAATGGATACTACACCCTAAGACGGAAAATTATCTGTGCAGGTCCACGTCTTCGTACAGCCCCCATATAATGGTACCTCCCGATATTCGGTATTTTGATGATTTTAGCTACATTATTCACGTCGTATAGAACCCAATATTACGGCTATATTCGGTATTTTTTAAATTTTAACAGAATTTTTTAGGGATTTTATTTTTTAAAAATTTCCAAATTCGTTGCAAATGGTGGAGGGTATTAAAAGTTCGGCCCGGCCGAACTTACTGCTTTTTAACTTGTTTAACTTATAAACGCTTGGATCCTTTCGGAAATTCGGAAATTTGTCGTTAAAATACTTTCTTCACATCGTTTAAAACCAATGTTTCTCACATATCCTTTACATATATCCTACAACGGTGGAAAACTTACTCGGCATTTTATGTTCTATTGTATTTCTTTACAGCAGTGTAAACGCGTGTTTTATGCGAACTTATTATTTATGCATATGCGTGCTATGGTGGCAAGTAAAAAAATGCTGTCCTGCATATTATTTGCACAGCATTCATTGCTTTTGTATTATTGTGAACTTTTCTGTTTATTTTGCATTATTCTTTGGAATTGTAGCCATGTTTTATAGTTTGGCTTCCAACAGTCAGTTGCGACGTGTATGACGGTGTGTGCGTTTTGTTGTGCATTTGATGTGTCATTCAAAAGTGATGTGAAATGTTTTGTTTCACAGGAACTCATATATGAATATGATGATATCAGAAGAAATGTGAACTGAATGGACTGATGTTTTTATGGCACCCCGCACTTTTCCGAGAGTAATACAGGAAATTTTAGAAAAAGTATTTTTGGGTTCACACTTGGTGCACTAATTCCCAGATGGTAAATTCTATATACACTGGTGGCCAAAACTAAAGCAACTGAAATTACAAGGAGAATGAATGACCTGTAACCTTTTCAAAAATTAAGAAAATGAAAAAGTTTTCCTTTCTAAGTACTGCCCAAAAAATTTAAAAATGGCTAGAAGCAAATACAGTACCTGAATAAAACAGCAAATTATCAGTGACTATCAAAACAAAATATCACAGAAAATTATTTCCGAGAATCATTTCATAAATATTTATGTGATTTCATAATTATTTCTGTATACTAAGTCGGTTTTTTGAAACTGGATCAGTAGTAATAGTCTATAGCGGATGAAGGCCGTGAAAAACTTCAGCCCGTACTGATCCACAAATTGTGAGAGAAATAAAAAACAACTATTTAAGAGTTCAACTGGATTGGTGAGAGAATAATCATTTGATATAAGTTCGAGATCAGTGCGT